TGATCGAATTAACGTTGAAAGTCCAATATCATTGCATCTATTCCGTCAGAGTGCGAGTTAAAATAATAATACTGATTGTGAGAGAGTCCAAATTTGAGGTTATTTTAAATTGTTTGGGTCATTTCACATCGTCGGCATAATACACATTACACACGTAGTATTCGACTCGGCATTCGGTTTGATGTGTGTATAGAAGAGCGAACGCAAAGTAACGCCCATCAAGGATTGAGATGTCTGCATCAAAGAACATCTGCAACTCCGCCTATCGAATTATATTTGATCAGACGCTTCTACAACTTCGGATCAAACAGGTATGCTCAGGTATGAAGAAAGATCAGGATTGATCAACAGGTACATGTAATATATGAGCTTGTTATTACCAATTATCCTTATGGTATATGGTTGTTTATTCTTGAAAAATTATTAAATTTATAAAGTGGACTCGCTTGTAGGTAAGCGGTTAAGAGCGACGGGACATGAATCAGAGGTCCCGGGTTCGATACCCACTTCGAGCAGCCTGTTGTCAGGCAGCAGTGACAACAATTTTTACTTGAAAATATAGACAGCAATATGTTTCCAAGTGAAAATAGCCCTTACCCGGCATTGCTGCACCAATAAAAAATCAGCCTTATTAGATTAATTGTAATAACAAAATCATCAAATATGGATGGATTAACCATTGGGTTACCATTTAAAACATACGAAGTAAGAGAAGTTTCAAGCCCAACAGCTCATAGGACGTAAAGTTCTGATTGCTGTTAATAAATTAAAAAAAAAAAATTATAAAGTGGAAAATATTTCATCCACGCTTTAGCTAAAAATTCAAAATCGATTTTAAAATTCAAAACTTATTTGAAAGATATTATTTGGGAGTCGGGCAGAATAATTATGGACAAAAGATTGGACGAGCCGTTTCTTTGTAACTAAATATTGAAATATTTTTTGCGATAAAACTTTATTTTTATAGATATCATGGTCCTGAAAAACACAATAAAACTTTACAGCCCTACGGCAAGTAGTTTAGTTTTAAAAACTCATCAAAGTTTGAAAAAAATTTATAGTCAAAATATGTGTCAAAAGTTGCTTTTGTGATGTCATAAGATTTAAACTAGGAATAATAAACTAAGGTGCCGATTCTGCCGCATAACAGAAAAATGTTATGACAAGGTCATGTTATGAAGAACTTTCCATACAAATATATAACAAAAGCTATGTGGTTAGTGTGCAGTCAGGCGTATTTCTCACGTTGTCAGCTAGAAAGCCGCACAAATGTCAAAAAAATTATCTTAGATAGCAGGGTCTATCTGACTCAGCTCCATAACATGTATAAAACGCCTGAATGCGCGGTAAATACATGACATTTTGACAGTATTCAGTATGATTCAGTAGCATTATGCATAAAATATGTATTATGTATGCCATAACATTTTTCTGTTATGAGGCAGAATCGGTCCCTAAATTTTAGGACATGTAAATACACGTGTTTGTGCACTATAATTAATTTAATTACAGAAAATTTAAAAGTGTTTCAGAAAATTCAATTGGAAATCGCAATATTTTCATTTAATTGAAAGCGAAAACTTTATTTTCGAAATAAACAGTTGAAAACTTTATCTGAATATCTAAATCTCAATTTCGTTTGATTAAAATCAATTAAAATAGATTTGGAGAAGTTCGTGCAACTTTCTTTAAGGCAAAATGCCACTTTCAATTGATTTATTCTTTGTAACATGAATTGAGATACAATATATCTGTACTCATATATAAAATGTATATTATAGATCAATATTATTTCTATAAACAGTTTTTTATTTTTAAAGAAGAAAAATAAGTTTTATGTATATCAAATACATTTAATCAAATTGTTTAAAATTAATATTAGTTAGTGCATTTTATCATTTCAAACAAGAGTCAGTTCCAGTAAACTTGAAATTTTTTAAAACTGTACCTTGTAGCTTTAAATTCATATAAATAATTTATAATTAACCCTAAAAATAAAGATCAAGATATTAATAGTTTATTAATAAAATTCAGTTTATTCACTCGAAATATTGATGGTAGCGCGGGGTTTCACAAGGTCGTATTGTAAGACCTCGTTATCAATTTTCTTTATAGTCCACTTGCCCTTTTCTTTTATTTACAACAATATTTAATAATAATATATAATTGAATATAATTATTGTACAATATAATGATTTATAATAAATTTTTATATCATCTTTCACATCATTTAAATTAAATTTACTATTAGTATCAAATGCTTTACACAACTGTGTTGATTCGAATTTTTATCGGGTGATTGATTTAAAATATTAAGAAAAAGCAATTCAAATTTATTGAATTTATTATAATACTAATATATTACAATAATAAAGAATAATTATTATTATAATATTATACTAATCATGTTCTCGAAATCACCTATACTATTTTTATACAGAAAATAATTGATACCATCTGTTTATCCCCATCGCTTAAGGCTGTTTCAATTACGAAAGTAATATTAGATTATTAAAAATAATAATATTGAATACTTTCACTCTGCAGTCGACAATTTATTATTTATACAGATCATGACGTGTTTTTTTATATAATTATTTGCTAATTAAATGAAGTAACCTGGTAAGAGTAGAGCAGAACTATTTCACTATTTCACAATATATAAAAACTACGAGTCTGTTTAAATAATAGTATCAATTATGAGTGAAATATATGCAATTCTTTTCCGCTTAATATTTAGAATTAATGGAATTTATTACAATTACAATTTGAAAAGTTTAATGCTTATTAAATATTAAAATTTAATTTTTAATTTATATTTTGGCCCGAATTACACAATTGTTTATCCTAACTAAAATACACAATAATAAATCAAAAAAAGTTTGTGAATACAAAATATTTCATATTTTGGAAATTGGCTTCAAAGCTGGCTTTGTTTTATAAGATCATTTGATGTATGTATGAATTTCTTCCTATGTTGAGAAGCACTGGCGTGAATCGCTTCATTTTCAAGAAACCCTTGTAAATTATACGTTAAAATTTTACATAAAAACATGGATGCGCCGAAACATCCATCCATTCGCAGGGGCTAAAGAACTACCAAATTTGATATGATGTCGTCGGTTTTATTATATTTTATTATAATACACACGCGATAACCAAAAACTCAATTCTTCAATTCTTATTCAGCAGGAATCTATTATGTGGCAAAATTTGTATTGTTAAATTGCTACCGAACATTTCGAGAATAAGAAAGGAAGATCTTTCTAATAAAGAAATAAAAGTCGATGCACGTGTCAAGGAATCTCATATTGCGCGTTGATGATTTATTATTTAATGTACTCGTAATATTGTGGCTTTTCGTTATTTTGTTAGAAAACCGACGGCCAGGCACATTCAATTTGCAATCTTACATTTTATAAAAATTTGTGTAGAAACGGATTTACTTATAAACCAAAAAATTAAGGGTGGAAATCAAGTTAAAAATCAGTATCCTCAAAAAAGTAAACTAAATTCAAAGCTAGTGGGGTGCATGGCATCGTGCCTTAAGGCAAATTACTGAAACTTCCCGTACCGTAATTGAAAATCTTGGTGCGGAACCCCAAAAAAATTTACACAATATCTGTACACATTATTAAAATCTATATAAAATATCTGATAATTTGATGTACATATATGTCAAATGCACGTTTTTGACCGCCAAATGATATTTTTAATGTATTTTCATTGAGAGTCAATAACCTGCCTGCCTTTTGGACCTTCCTTCCCAAAAATTTAATTAGTTATTAATCTTGTCAATACAAGTAAAATGTTCTCTGAATTATTAAAATCGGACGCTCCGTACTCTTAAAAACTGAGTTACCGTTTTTGGCACTTTTTGCCCCGTATCTTCGGAACGGCTGGACCTGCCTTCGCCAAAAACTAATCAGCACGTTTAATTATCAATACGAATCGAATGGTTTTTGAATTATTCAAATGGGTTGATTGTCGACGAAAAATT